CACTCCCCAAATGGCTGCAATGGCCAGAGCTGGGCTGATCCAAAGCCAGGAGCCAGGAGCTTCCTCCAGGTCTCCCACATAGGTGCAGGGGCCCAAGGACTTTGGCCATCTTCCACTGCTTTCCCAGGCCATAACAGAGAGCTGGATTGGAAGTGGAGTAGCCAGGACTCTAACTGGCATTCATATTGGGTGCTGGCGCTGCAGGAGGCAACTTTACCCTCTATGCCATAATGCCAGCCCCCAATGGACCAAGTCTTTCACATGTGGATCTTTAGGGGGACATTCAACACCCAAAGCTGAGCCCCACATGGGTGGTCTGAACAAGAGAGGAAGGATAAATATTTGAGTATTGTTCTCATTTCCATCTCTGCCTTGGTAAGCCAATTTTTACAGAACCTAATTAGTTGTATTAAAGATTTATTTATTTGAGAAGGAGGTAGAGAAGAGATGCATAGAAATGGTAAGAGTAGGGGAAGAGAGAGAGAGAAAGCAAGCTCCTCACCTTTTGTTCACTCCCCAAATGCCCACAGTGACCAGGAGTGGGCCAAGCTGAAACTAGGAACCAGGGTCTCAGTCTAGGTCTGTCATGTGGATGGCAGGAACCCAGTTACGTGAGCCATCACCAGTGCTCTCCAGGGTCTGCATTAGCAGGAAGCTGGAGTCAGGAAGTAGAGCCAGGTATTGAACCCAGGCACTCTGACTTAGGATGTGGGCATCTTAACCTTTAGGCCAAACGCCTGCCCTTAATTAGCTCTTTAAGGGCATCATTATAAACTCGTGGTTTAGGAGAACACTTGATGTGATTATCTTCCCAGGGTGAGATGTTAGAGGAGAAAGCACTGTGTCAGAGCACAGAAATGTAGAATTCTGATACAATTACCACTGAGTCTCCAGAAAGAGTTCAGTATGTTCTCACAACTAGTCTGTAGAAACACTTGTTTCTCGGTATCCTTGGCAACACTGATTTGGTCAGTTTTTAAGTTTTTTCATTGTACTCGTCAGATGGCAAAATTGGTATTGTACTGCAGTCTTTTAGCTGTAAGTAAAGTGGACCTTTTGACAATGACTTAAAAAAAATTTAGGCAGTTGCTTGTGAGTTACCTTGACCCTCGTTTCTGCGAGAATATTGGCCCTTTCTAACATTTTTGTTTGATGGCTACTGCTTTCTGTTTACTTATAGCATTTGTTTCCTACTTTAAGATCGTAAAAATAGGCTGATCTTCTTCTGTTGCCTGTCTGTGAGTATATAGTTAAATATTTGTTCTATGCACAGCTTGCTTTCCTAAGGACTGAGGTAAGAATCCAGCACGCCTTTACCCCAAGTGCTGATCAGTTTTCCCAATGCCTTTTAATTAACTATCTACCTCCATTATTCGAAATGCCACCTTTATGAGTGCTTTTGTAATCTTGAATCTGAGTATTTTGTTATGCTCCTTGGAGTTGTCTGTATTTCTGTGCCAGTAGGACAGTTTCTGTTACTTGATTTTCCATGAGCATTTTTGTTACTAAATTTCATAAAGTTTTGAAAATCATATGTACTTAAGACTTGCTTTGTACTATATTTTAATAATTAGTGCTGCCAGCCTCTTCTTTTTTCTTCTTTCTGACAAAGCTTACAAATTATTCCAGAGATTTTAGAAAGATTTGTGTCAAGTTCCTCAAACAACTCTTCTGTGTTTTGCTTGGGATTTTATTGGTTATGGATTAATCAACTTTGAGTCTTTACACTCAAGAACAGGATCTTTCATTTCATTTATCTCTCTCTGTCTCTCTCTTTTAAAGATTTATTTATTTATTTATTTATTTATTTATCTGGAAGTCAGAGAAGGAGAGGCAGAGAGAGAGAGAGAGAGAGTGAGTGAGTGAGTGTCTTCTATCTGCTGGTTCACTCCTCAATTGGCCGCAATGGCCGGAGCTGTGCTGTTCCAAAGCCAGGAGCCAGGAGCTTCTTCTGGGTCTCACATATGGGTGCAGGGGCCCAAGGACTTGGGCAATCTTCTACTGCTTTCCCAGGCCATAGCAGAGAGCTGGATGGGAAGTGGAGCAGCCGGGACTCGAACTGGCGCCCCTATGGGATGCTGGCACTGCAGGCCAGCGTGTTAACCTGCTGTGCCATAGCACCAGCCCCCATTTCATTTATTTCAATCTTTTTATTCTGGGATATTTTCAGTTAATTTATCCCTGAGTTGATTCTTGTTGGTTTCTCAGTTCCTGCCTTTGAGGAATGCCTTTACATTTGATCAGATTATTATTATTATTTTTTTAAGTAGGTCAAACCTTCTGGGCAAATGTCAGATTTTGTAATCTGTACGAGAGGCTTTCAGGGAGTCAGTTCCCTAAGCTAATGACCTGCATTACCCACTGTGCTTCAGGAACATCGAGTGATGGTTCCATCTGATAGGAGCTGATGTGTAGTCACTGGCTATAAATTACAGCCAGTTCCTGAAGATGACCATACATTGTTGACCAAAATTAGATGTAACACAGATTGGGAGTTTTAAATTGAAAACGTCAACTGTTTAAGTACAGCATTTAGGCATTTTTTTTTATTAAGTGGAAACAGAAAACCCAGACCTACAATTATAAAAGAGTTTTATAAGGATACTTGTGCCAGCCTGCTTGGCCTTTTGGGTTGGACCATTGCTCCGGGGGATTATCATTTTTGTCTGCTGCTTATATGACCTTTGTTTATGCTCAGACCTATTTTTCCCCATGTAGAAGGACAATGGTTACTAATAATGGTTAAAGCAGGTACTATTTATTGAGCCCCTTCTTTGTGCTATGTCCTAAGTGTTTAACTAATGGTAACTTCATAAATTCACTGAACAACATTTTGTAAGAAGTTATTTATTCCGAAGAGAGAGAGAGGGAGGGAAGGGGGGAGAGAGAATCTTTCCTCTGCTATTTACTCCTCAAATGCCCCTACAGCCAAAACTGGACCAGGTCAAAGATAGGAGCCTGGTGTTTAATCAGCGTCTCCGACATGAGCGTCAGGGACCCAAGGACTTGGGCCATCACCTGCTGCCTCCCAGAGCTGGACCTGAACCCCGGCACTCTGCTGTGGGATGTGGGAATCCCAGGTGGCCTTTCAACCCCTACACTAAACCTCCACCCCATGCTGAACAACTCTCCAAGGAATTCTCATTTAATATATCAGCCAGTTGCAGATAGGAGGTAGACTGGACATTTATTTACGTTAAATCTGTTTAGCTCTCTGTTCTTTGTGGCCTTGGTCTGAGCTGTGGGCTCTAAGGTGTGTGTGGGTATAGGTGGGTGTAGGTGGGTGTAGGTTGGTGTGAGGTGTCAGATGCTCCCATTGAGTGTCTTTGTGTTAAGACTGAGAAGTGACCACGGCTTTAACAAACCTGCCAACACTCTTTCTAAAATGCAGAAGGCTTCTAAAATATCTTTCTCTCAAGAGTTATTCTTTTTTTTTAAAAATTTCTTTTTTTTTTTTAATTTTTTGTTCCCAAAGAAACCCTTTTTTTTTTTTTTTTGACAGGCAGAGTGGACAGTGAGAGAGAGACAGAGAGAAAGGTCCTCCTTTGCTGTTGGTTCACCCTCCAATGGCCGCTGCGGCTGGTGCGCTGCGGCCGGCGCACCATGCTGATCCGATGGCAGGAGCCAGGTACTTATCCTGGTCTCCCATGGGGTGCAGGGCCCAAGTACTTGGGCCACCCTCCACTGCACTCCCTGGCCACAGCAGAGAGCTGGCCTGGAAGAGAGGCAACCGGGACAGAATCCGGCACCCCGACCAGGACTAGAACCTGGTGTGCCGGCGCCGCAAGACGGAGGATTAGCCTAGTGAGCCGTGGCGCCAGCCTCAAGAGTTATTCTTTATTAAGAATTTCAGTATGTTTTCAATTTTTATTTTGTAGGTGATTGCTGAACCACTATTATTTTGTGGAGTCTAGGATCAGATTTTCTGGGGAGACCAGACTTAATAAGAAATAATATAATAACCAATACTGGATTATCAGAAGATTTGTTAAGCTCCTTAAATGCTAAACAAGATTATAAGGAGAATCCTCACCCTACTTTAGGGGGATAATCTGTCTTCAGGTTCTTTAAAAGCACATACTTAATCATAAACAGTATGCTAACTTTAATTACAGCAGTATTAATACAGCTGGGCCCTTTGCTTTTTATAGATAATGGGTTGTATATTCTCTCAAACTTAGTAAAATAGTTGTATAAACATTTCTTGATGATGCAACTTTCCAGGAACTTAATTAATGTGGCTGTGTACATTATTAAGTATGTAAGACATACTGAAAGGCATAGAGAGTAACATCCTCAGATTATCCATGCACTTAACATCCTGCTTAGGACATGAAATGTTACCAGCATATTGAGCCCCTGGGTGCCCCTTCCCAACTGTATAATTATACCTCTGCCTCAGAGAGGGCAATTAATCATCTCATTTCAAACATAATAAAGTCTGTGTTTCTGAATTTTGTATAAATTATAGTATACTCCGTACTACACCTTGCTTTTTAAAAGTTTTTTAAGGATTTATGTGAGAGGCAGAGAGAGACACACAGAGACTGTGTCTAGTTCATTCCCCAGTGACCTGCAATGGCTGGGGCTGGAGCCAGGAGCCAGGCTTTCAATCTGGGTCTCCCCCTTGTCTGGCAGGAACCCAACCAGTGGAGTCATTGCCGTTGCCACCCAAGGTCTGCATTAGCAGGAAGCTGAAATCGAGTCAGAGCTGGGAGTTGAACTTAGACACCATAGTTTAGGATGTCAGTGCCCTATGCAGCATCTTAACTCCTAGGCCAAACACTTGCCCCTTCAACTTGCTTTTCCCACTTAGTATTCTGTTTTTGAGGTTCATCCATGTTGATATGTGCAATTCTAGACCATTTGTTTTTCCTGCTTGTAATACTCCGTTGTGTAAGTATGCCATCATTTGTGTCCCCCTTTCTTGTTGGTGAGCAGTTAGTTGTTTCCAGTTTTTGTGACTAGTAAAACGTGTTGATGTTAGTGTTCTTTTTCAGTTGTCCTTCCACATAGATGTGAGAGATCCCCAGGGGTGCCTCCTGATGAACGTAACTGCTGGTTTGAAAGGTATGTGTGTCTTCAGCTTTGCCAAATATTGCCAGATTATCTCTGAAAGTAGGGTGCCCATCTGGACGCCCACCTTCACTGATGGGGTTCTCATTGTTCTGCACCGTTGTCGACATCAGATATTGTTAGACTTCCATTTGTCAGTGTGATGAGAAATAGATCCCAATGTTATGCTGAATTTCTGTGATTACTAGTGAGGTCAATTATCTCTTCTTACATTTGTTAGCATTACAGATGGTTTTTCCTTATTATGGTCAGTCCTCTGTATCTATGAGTTCCACATATGTGGGTTCTGCACCCATGGCTTCAACCAAACATGGTTTGGAAATATTAGGCCGGCGCCGCGGCTCACTAGGCTAATCCTCCGCCTAGCGGCGCCGGCACACCGGGTTCTAGTCCCGGTTGGGGCGCCAGATTCTGTCCTGGTTGCCCCTCTTCCAGGTCAGCTCTCTGCTGTGGCCAGGGAGTGCAGTGGAGGATGGCCCAAGTGCTTGGGCCCTGCACCCCATGGGAGACCAGGAAAAGCACCTGGCTCCTGGCTCCTGCCATCGGATCAGCGCGGTGCGCCGGCCACAGCGCGCCGGCCGCGGCGGCCATTGGAGGGTGAACCAACGGCAAAAGGAAGACCTTTCTCTCTGTCTCTCTGTCTCTCACTGTCCACTCTGCCTGTCAAAAAATAAAAAAATAATAAAAAAATTAAAAAATTAAAAAAAAATTTAAAAAAAATATTAAAAAATAATCTGTATCTGTATTAAACATGTGCAGACTTTTCCCCCGTCATTATTCCCTAAACAATATACTTTACTTTTTTTAAAAAGATTTGTTTATTTATTTGAAAGAGTTACACAGAGAGAGGAGAGGCAGAGAGAGAAAGAAAGAGAGAAAGAGAGAGAGAGAGAGAGGGGGGTCTTCCATCCACTGGTTCACTCCCCAATTGGCCACAATGGCTGGAGCTGTGCCGATCCGAAGCCAGGAGCCAGGAGCTTCTTCCCAGTCTCCCACGTGGGTGCAGGGGCCCAAGGACTTGGGCCATCTTCCACTGCTTTCCTGGGCCATAGCAGAGAGCTGGATTGGAAGTGGAGCAGCCGGGTCTGGAAACAGTGCCCATATGGGATACTGGTGCTTCAGGCCAGGGCATTAACCCACTGCGCCACAGCGTTGGCCCCTAAACGATATACTTTAACAACTACCTACATAGTATTCACACTATGTTAGATATAAGTGATCTAGAGGTGATTTAAAGCCTATGGGATGAGTGTAAAAGGAAACCAGGCCTTGTCTTTAGACTGGCTCATTTCACCTCTCTGTACTGAGGCTGGGTTTTTAGGGTCTTCCTGGCTGTTAGGTTTTTTTCAGGCCCCCTAAGAGTGACAAGAGAATCCAGTACTCCTTTCTCTGAGATACAAGCACCTAAGAGCTGTAACTAGACTGCTGTGGACCTACCTCAACCTTGACCCCAGAGTCTTTTTGGATATCCACTGAAGAAAATTCTCAGGATTCAGCCTCTCATACCATCTGCCCAGAAATGTCGACAAAGGGCCTTAGTAACCTGACTCTGCCACCAAATTCCCTTCCCCTGTACCAGGAGACCCTCCTCAACGGCCTGACCGAGTTGAGAAGATGATGTTCCTTCCAGGTGCCCAAAAGGAGGCAGAAGCAGGGACGTTTTATCTGAATGGAGAGGAAGACTGGCACACCTGGGGTACCTCTTAATGAACAGATATTCTCAGCTTAAAAAAGATCACAGGAGCGTTGGTCCTAAGGGAGTTCAGAGTGAATCAGGAAGTGAGGCATTCAGATGCCGCTGCCTTTATCATGGATAGGACCCTTCAGAGAGTGCTACGACGGGAATGGATTATGACTAAGTCAGTTTAGGCGTAAGCCTTATTCTTATACTGTTCTTGCTAGTAATTTCATGTAGTAGACAGAGAAACCGATTCTATGCTGAAATAGACTTGTATACCTATACTTTTGAAAACCTAGGATATGAGTTGTGATACGTTTCTCTTCCTACCTTGATAGCAGTAATTTATGTGGACTCCATAGTTGGATTGTATCTGAATGACTTCCAGTATACTTCACTTCTTTCTGATTTGACCCAGAGAAGCAGCACCAGTGCGTTTCAAGTATTCCCAAGTGTTTTAGAAGACTGAAGTCAATGAGATGAGACCCAGCACCAAGAACTTACGTGCAGAGTACCCTGTGGGAAAGGAATGTAAAGAAAGCATTGGGTATTTTGGCTACAGCATAATAATCAGGGCAGATAATTAGATATTCTGGCTTTCAAATGTTTGGATTGCAATAAAAGGAAATTTTGATGTGCTGTATCAAAAGAAGCAATTCAGTCTATGGGAGGATTGGATAGGTTCCATATAAATACTGTGCCATTTTATAAAGGGACTTGAGCATCATGGATTTAGGTATCTATGGGAGATTCTGCCATCATTCCCCCAAGGATAATGAAGAGTGACTGTTATTGTATATCCTGGTTTAAAGTTACATGCAAAGTTGAAAATAGCATGGAGTGGCTACTACTAAAGAGAAGTATATCAAGCTGATATCCTTAAAACACTAGACACTTGGCAGATTGTTCTGGAGATAATAACTTTGGAATGTTTTTAAAGCACAGTAGAAAGTGTGGATGTTGAATTAAGTTTATGCTTGATTCCTGGCTCCATTACTTACCAACTGTATGACCTTGGGTCATTTATGCAGTCTTATTGAATCTGTCTCCTCATTAAAAATAAATGCTTTGGTGGGGCCAGTACTGTGGTGCAGCAGGTTTAATGCCCTGGCCTGCAGAGCCAGCATCCCTTATGGGCACTGGTTCGAGACCCGGCTGCTCCACTTCCCATCCAGCTCTCTGCTATGGCCTGGAAAAACAGTAGAAGATGGCCCAAGTCCTTGGGCCCCTGCACCCACATGGGAGACCTGGAAGAAGCTCCTGACTCCTGGCTTTGGATCAGCACAGCTCCAGCTGTTGCAGCCAGTTGGGGAGTGAACCATCGGAAGAAGGACCTCTCTCTCTCTCTGCTTCTCCTCTCTCTGTGTAACTCTTTCAACTAAAATAAATAAATAAATCTTTTAAAACAATGCTTTGGTGAGAGAATTAAATGAGATAACACCTGGCACCTAGGCCTAGTACATAGCTTTGAGGATGGGCTGTGCATATCCAACTTCAAGGTTGTGAAAAAGGAGTAGGAACATGGCATATAGTTAAATAATCAGTCCTGAAAGCCAACAGTATTTCTGAGATTGAAATGCCCTCCATGGACTGTTGACTCTAATATTAATGTATTTCTGTCTCAGGATCCACTGGCACAGAAAATCCAAAGGTGTCATGTGTCTGCCACGTAACTTGCATTTGGCCACACACACACACACACACGTGCCCTCATGGCATTGCTGTTTATCTTCTGTGCTCTGTCAATCTCCTACGCTTCAGACCTCTGCTACTGACAGAGCTGTCCAGGATCTCTGCATAGGTGGACATAATCTTGGGCCTCTTTTGGGTGTTCTGGACTCCAGCTTCCATTGGGGAACTCTGTCAGTGACCACACAGCATGGAGGGATGGGCTGGGTGCAGAGAGCTGGGGTGGAATGTGGGCTGGGACCCTGTAGATAATTGTGAGTTGATCTTGTTTAGACCATTCTTGTGTCTCCAGCCACAGGAATTTCTTCACATGGCTCCTGAAGAAGTGACCATCACAGTTCGCCTCATTCGTTCATTTGAACACCGCAACTTCAAACCCATAGTGTATCATGGGATTAACTTGGACCAAACCGTAAAGGAATTTATAGTATTCCTAAAGCAAGGTAGGCAATATTACATTTGGGTTTATTAGTATTAAAAATAGTTGACTGTGACACTAATCATGACCAATTTTAAAAATATTTATTTGAGAGACTGAGCAAGAGAGGTTGAGTACTCCTGTGTGATGTTTCACTCCTTAAATGCCTGCACACCAAAACCAGGAGCTGGGAACTCAGTCAAACTCCTCCCAATGCATGGTGGGGACCCAATTATGTGAGCTTCCTCCCAGGGTCTGCATTGTCAGTAAGCTGGAATTGAGAGCAGAGCTGGGACTTGAACCCAGGCACTCCAATATGGGAAGTGGGCATCCCAATGTGAGTCTTAAACGCTATGTCAAGTGCCTATTCCCACCTCTGATTTTAATTACTGAAGTGTTTTGCTCATTCACATTTGATAAAACATCTAGGGTAAGCTTTTATTATTTTAATTGGAGTGTCATTTATGTGGGGTGCAATGCACAGATCACCATGTACTCTTTCAGGGATTTGGGCAAATATATCCTTCATATCTGACAATTTTGTTTGTATATCTATATATTTTTTGGCTTGGCTTGGACATAATTTCAGACTGACGACAGGCAGTTGCAAGGACAGGACGGTGTCCCTGATGCTCTTCACACAGTTCCCCAAATGCTAACACAATCTGAAGTTTCTCTCCCCCTCTGTCTCTCTCCCCTTCTCTTTCCTGCTCCTCTTTCTCTCCTTACCCACCTTAGTCCCTTAGTTTTTTCTTTCTGAACCATTTAGAAATATGTGACTGAATCCGCACATTTCAGTGTGTATTTCCTAAACACTTGGAATTCTCATTCTCTTTTGTAACCACTGTACAAAGATCAAAATCAAAAACTTGGCATTGAAACAATGCTGTTGTTTGATTTAGAGACCCAATTGTCCCAATAAGGTCTTTCATAACAAAAGAAAAGTACGTCATATGTTGTGTTCAGTTCCTTTAATCTGAAACATTTTGGAGTCTTCTGTTTATTTCATCACGTTGATGACTTCTAAAATATATATTTATTTGAAAGAGAGAGAGCAAGAGAGAGAGAGACACTATGAGAACCTTCCATCCACTGTTCCCTTCCAAAATGTCACCAACAGCCAGGTCTGGACCAGGCCAAAGCCAGGAGCCTGGGACTCTATCTGGGTCTTACACATGGGTGGCAGGGACCCAAGTACTTGAGCCATTCTCTGCTGCCTTCCCAGGCGCATTAGGAGGTAGCTGGATCGGAAGCAGGGTCATGAGACTGCAGGTGACACTCTGATAGGGAATGCTGGCGTCACAAGCAGTGGTTTAACCCACCATGTACAGTGCTGGCCCCATATTGATAATTTTGCATAGAACAGATAGTTATGTTTTCAGAATCCTCCTCAGCTGGTCTGGTCTCATGTTTTCTCTTGGGTTAGATTTCAGCTGTGCCTTTGGCGGGAAACTTGTAGAAGGGGTGCTGGCGTCAACTCAGTGCCTCCCAGCAGGACGAGTCCCATTGATTAAGGTGTCTGCCAGCTTTCCTCACCATAAACTTCATTATAATTCAAAAGTACCTGTTAGGGGTATTGTCTGAGACTGTGTGAGTATCCCATTCTCAAATTTTCATCTACTATCACAGCTTTCTTTGATAATTTATGCCTGAATCAGTTATTATGCAGATTGGCACATGGTTTTTCTATTTCTGCCACTCCTTCCACATATTTTAGTTGCCTTTCCATAGTAAGGAAGAGCTTTCTCCCAGCCCCTTCCCATTAATGTGATTCCTTGTTTGTATCTCTGTGGTCTCCTGAATTCCCACTTTATCATTCTTTATTACTTTATTTATTTTGGTGCCCCAATATCCCCATCTTGGGATCCCCTTCAGCCTAACTCCTGTGTCCTTTCAACATGTCCACATCCATCTTTGAGTGCCTCCTTACTCTTTGGCAGAAGATGTTCTAGACTTCTGGTCTTCACTTGGCCCAGCCTTGGACCAGCCAGCTCTCTGGGGCGCTCCTGATACGTGACTAGAGAACGGTGTTTGGAAACCAGGAGTCAGTTTGCTTGTGTGTGCAATGCAGGTGTGGATAGCTAACTTTGTAAAACATAGTGAATCCTCAGCATGTGACTTCCTGATGGACATGGTCAATTTTCTCAACTCGTCTCCCTTGTGTGTATTTCTCCTTTGTAGTCTTGGGTGGTTTTGCCCTCCTGCCTTGTTTGAGTAGTACACAGTGCATACAGAGCTATGTATACAGTACACACAGAGCCGTGGAGAAGACCGGGGCCAGTCACTGTACCTGGTGGTGACTGTTCACAGGGTTTCATTGGGAGGACGTAGCGTCAGCAGATGTGAGGGCTCCGTCCTTTGGGGGTGTTGCTTAATAATCAGTGTCAAGTGGAGCTGCGCAGAGGAAGGCTTTGTGTGTGTGACAAGTAAAGGAGACACTGGGAAGCAGAGCACCCCAGAGAAGCGCTTTCCAGGGATTTCTTTTTTTAAAGATTTATTTATTTATTTATTTGAAAGTCAGAGTTACACAGAGAGAAGGAGAGGCAGAGAGAGAGAGAGAGAGAAATAGAGAGAAATAGAGAGAGAGAGAGAGAGAGAGAGAGAGAGGTCTTCCATCCATTGGTCCACTCTCCAATTGGCCACAATGGCCAGAGCTGAGGTGATCGGAAGCCAGGAGCCAGGAACTTCTTCCAGGTCTCCCACATGGGTGAGGGGCCCAAGGACTTGGGCCATCTTCTACTGCTTTCCCAGGCCATAGCAGAGAGCTGGATTAGAAGTGGAGCAGCTGGGTCTTGAACCGGTGTCCATATGGGATGCTGGCACTGCAGGCAGCAGCTTCACCCGCTAAGCCACAGGGCTTTTACAGCAAGGACGGGGGGTGTCCAGGATGTAGGAAAGGTGGAGTGAGAGGGCCCTTCCTCTGTTTCAAACTCTGTGGAGTGACAGAGATGGGGAGAGAGAGAGAGAAAGATCTTCCATCTTTTCGTTCACTCCTCAAATGGCCACAACAGCCAAAGCTGGGTCAGGCTGAAGCCAGGAGCCAGGAACTTGATCCAGGTCTCCCACATGGGTGACAGGGACTCTACATGCTTGGACCATCTTCTGCTGCCTTACCAGGCCCATTAGCAGGGAGTTGGGTTGGAAGTGGAGCAGCCAGGACTCAAACCAGCGCTCCAATATGGCGTACTGGCTTTGCTGGCAGCAGCCTATCCCAGTGCACCACAATGCTAGTCCTGAGTGTAAAGTTTTATGGCTCTGTTCTTCATTACTGGGGGGAAATTCAAAGTACTGAGATAATCTTGTTGGAGAAGAAAAATTATTTTTCCTCAACCTTTATAAAATCTTATCTGGAAAGGATCCTATACCAAAAGATTTAGCAGGAGAAATGAACAAGCTTGTCAACATGCATATTTAATACATATCAAGAGAAAAATAAACAGGTCCATTAGCATGCGTATTTCATATATACAAGGGAGACACCCAGAGAATGAGTAGCTCTCTGAGAGGTGGCTTTGAATTCCTGCTCATAAAGCATCTCCAACAAACAATGCTGAATTTTCAGAGAAAAAGATAAAGAAAAAGGACTTTGAGTGTCTTGTGGCAACAACCTGAGAGAAAGCAGAGGACTGATAAGTGCTCATGAGTAAAGCGAATTTTGGGCCCAGGGGTCTGCAATTTTCTTCAGCAGTTGCTCTCTGTTCTCCCTGGAAGAGAAGGGAGGTGGGAGAGCTTTTGTCTGTGGAACCTGCAGCCTACTTGTCAGCAAATAGAGGGAGGAGGGCAGAGAATTCCCCTGCATGTGTGTCTTAATTCCATTCCGCCCCAAAACAGTCCTTATGCCAAAGAGGCATATTTTAGGGTGACATTTTCTGGTCCCCACAATATCAGAGAATGTTCTGCTTACTTGAAGCATATTCAGGCTGCAAAATAGAAAGCAGTGCCCACATGTTTTTATCTTTCTTTCTGTGTGTGATGGGTTACAGCACTTCTCTGTGTCCAGCCAGCCAGGGCTCTGACCGTCTTCTGGAAGCCTTGAGAGTAGCATGTAACCTTCAGCTGCTGCAGGCCGGCGGGCGAGGTCTTTCCAGGGTCACTGTGTTCTTCTCTTGCCAGGTTCCACAGGCTGCCTGCCGCAGCACAGCAGTGGCTCTGGCCTCAGGCCTGAACACATCCCTCGCCCACGTTAGTAATGGCATCACCGGGCTTGTTCCATTTGTGCCTGTGGGGCTATGTATTCCACCCACTCAAAGGGTAACTTTTGGGGAACAGATTTCTTTTGAGTTGTGGGCTGTGTGTCCAAACCTTTCTTTGTCTTCTGATTTGTGGTCCTATGGGCACTCAGAAAGATCAGTGGGCTGCATACTTGCCTTTTAGGACCCGTGTCCATAGCAGGGACAGGCTCGTTTGGTAGTGAGGGGTTTCTGAGAGAGTAATAACAATGCTAGAGGTAGCGTTGCTCTGTGTTTAGATGTCCAGTTGATCTCATTTCATCCTCACAGCACCCTTCCAAATTAGCAACTGTTCCTGTCCCCATTTTGCAGGGGAAGAAACGAAGGGACAGAGAGATGGAAGACACTGTCCCGTGGCTAATAAAAGGCAAGACTGCAAATCAAGCCAGGCAGTCTGACTGTAAAACATATGCTGCACTAAATTGCCTGTTTATTCTCTTCTGCTGTCTGGCTTGCTTACGTAGGATCTCTGAAATGAGCAGATTCACTCCGCATCAAAAGAGCCTTTGGGTTCATTCTGCTCCAGTGTTTCGAACATTGAGAGCTGAAAGGTTGGCATGACATTGTGGCAGAGTGTGTTTTGTCCAGACAGGAATGGTCATTGTGACGAAAGATCTCTTGGGGTTATTTTAGAGGCCTTATTCCCTTTCGAACTGTTCTTATCGTCATCACTTTCTTGCCATCCATTGTCCCCTGCCACAGTTGTCTGGCTTTTCCCTCTGCCAAGAAACTTTGGTGCAATTTGATTCACTCTTCACTGAGAATCATTGTAGGAGGGCATTCAGCCATTAAAACA